CTATAATTATCTTCAATGCTGCTCCCCCCTGATTTATATCCCACTTCCAATACTGCAATGTTTCTGGCAACTGGCAACTTTGTTAAAAAAAAAAGAAAAAAAAAAGTGCCTGGTGGTTTGTGGATTAATCAAGATACTTAAAGTAAACCTTTTACTCCATTTTAAATTTAAAATGCCTGATGTTATTTATTTGTGGGAAAGACCCCTATTTTTGCTCCACCTGATTTACTTTCTCTCTTTCTTACTGGGGCTTGCCTTCCTGGCCAACCTCAGTCCAGTAAGAGTTGCCTTTAGCTGTGAGAAAAAAAAAAGAAAAAGAAAAGGACTCAGCCCTTGAATGCCCTCTGAAATCACCTCCTTAAATATCATTATATGAAAAACCTTTCCACTGGTAATTGGGCACATCAACAGTTCATTAGAAAGACTTATCTCTATCTATTCTGCTTTTGGAGATGGGATTTCATTAAGGTATCACTACAAATTAACCTTTTCAGCCTCTTATTTATCTCTATATTTTGTTTTTATTACTTTTAATCATTCTGGCTCACTATAGTAATCAGAGAAAGTGACTGCATTTATTAAGTCCTTGACCTTTTACATTGTTCTGAGCAGAGCATTCCTCTTTTTTTCTGCTGTATTTATCATGTTTTTACACTATTCGTTATATCACAATGTTTTTTTAATCAATCAAAGAGTAATAAAAATAATCTGTCTAAAGGTCTTCTCATTTATGTGTATATTACAAAATGATAAGGAAATGAGCGATGTGCCTACATATATTTTATTAGTGATACATTTAGAGGGATATAACATTTTACATTTATGCGATAATGACCCAAAACGGTTTCACAGAGGGATAATAAAGTCATCCCATAAAGCTGACTATTGCAGTATTTCTCCTGTCACATAGTACCCCTGTGCCACATCAATGTTGCAGCTAAAAAGATTTTCATTATACATTCCCTCTGAATATCTTAAGATATTCTTCATGGACTTCTGGCTGTTTTCATACAACACTGGGGGACAGGAGACTTTGGAGCTTAGACATTTGGAAAGGGAAATAATGTTTAAGTTTTAGCTCAAATTTGGAGAGGATTTTGAATAAATAAATACTTAATGAAACCATCCAAGAGCACACAGGTTGATAGCACAGTCTATGATCCTGGGATATGACATTGCGTTTGGATTTAATTTAGTTTCATTGCACAGTACTCATCCTTTGGCATTGTGCCTTTTGCTTGTTTTTTTGGGGGGGTTTTATCCCTGTTGCTGCTGTGTTTATGGTATCATTCTCTACAACTGAGCTAGTGTTCTCATTTTTCAAATGTAGTATAGGCTTCACTAGGGTAAACCAAAATATATGTTTCCTAAAAGCAGACATCCTAAAGCAGGCATTGAGAATTGTTTTCTACTTCTGAAATTTACACATATACAATAGTATATTTTTAAGATGCATAAAGCCTGTTTAAGCACAGGCAAACACACAAAAAACTTCATATGCAAGAGATGAAACTCAAACATATATACAGTACATAAACAGCACTTCATATGTAGCACCCTCCTAGGAAAGCTAGGGGGAGCTTGGTTATTTTTTTTTTAGTTAGAGGCTGAATAGAAGCCTGATACAATATTTAGAGGGTCAAATTTGGGTCAGGGCTGAGAGGCTCTGCAGATCAGCTCACTGTTACCTACCCCTGATCTAGAGACTTGGAGACATCTCTAGAACTCTGTGGGCAGGAATGAGGAGGAGCTGGTCTTCACTCTTAAGGGATTATGACCAATCCCCAAGCAGGAGGCTTGGCATGGGGTCAGTACAGCCCCTAACAGTGACTGAGTGTGCTCAGAAGCAGGAGAGTTCAGGTGGAAGATGTGAGAGCAGGAGCAGGAGCCTGGAGCCTGGGAGGAGGCTCAGGGAAGGGCACTGCCTCCAGAAGAGTTGTTGACAGGAGAAAAGCTGAACCTCACCAGCCCCCCTGAGGGAGGACCATCTGTGGAGCTAAGGAAGGAGTTAGCCCAGCAGAAGACCTGAAAGCAGCTACCGACCTGCAGTTTACAGAGAGGGACATTGAGTACTTCTACACCCCAAGGACAGGAATAGGGGAGAGGGCATTTGGGTGGAAAACCTGACTAGCCCCAGCTGGATTCAGATTCTAGATCTCCTTGTCCAGGGATTTCTACACCAGGAGAGGCTTGATAGCTCTCCAAGAAGAAAGGAGAAGCACTTGTAAATAGCTTCAGGAAGTTGTCCTCAGTTAAACAGTTCCCTGGGCACCCCATATATCTCTCATCCCTATCCATCATTTTTCCTATTGGCTGGGCGGGACTCTCGTCGATCCGGGAGGGCGGTGTATGACGTCCTTCCAGGATCGCGCCTTGCATGTGCCTGCAATCACAGCAGGTCACATGACAGTTGTAAACAATGGATGGCTTCCTTTCATGCCATCCATTATATACAAGTGTGAACGGTCACAGTGATACCATGCACAGGCTAGGTCAATCACAGCCCATCTGTGTCATGTGGCCAATCACAGCTAATCACAACAAAATAACCTGAATGAATCGATTTCATTCAGTTAAATGCTTGCTTATAGCAAAGAAATTTCTCAGGTATGAGGAAATATTAGAGGAACTCAATTTATTCTCTATTGAGAAGAGATTAAGGGGGGATATGGTCAACATGTATAAATACATCAGTGGTTCATATAGTGAACTCGGTGTAGAGCTATTCACCCTGAGGTCATCACAGAGGACAAGGGGGCACTCTTTACGTCTGGAAAAGAGATTTACTTTCCAAATATGGAAAGGCTGTTTCACAGTAAGAGCTATGAAAATGTGGAAAAGAGCTGATTCTAGCCAGTTCAGTAGATTGCTTTAACCACTTGCCCTCCTGAGGATATACCCCCCTTCCTGACCAGGCCATTTTTTGTGTTACAGCACTGCGTTACTTTAACTAATTGCGTGCTCATACAATGCTGCACCACAATTACATTTACATCCCTTTTTCCCCATGAATTGAGCTTTCTTTCGGTGGTATTTGATCACCTGTGTGTTTTTTATTTTTTTTGCGCTAAAAAAAAAAAGAACGACAATTTTGAGAAAAAAACTACCTTTTTACTTTTTGCTATTAAACATGTCCAGTAAAAAAATGTTAAAAAATCTAATTCGTCGTACATTTAGGCCAAAATATATCCTGCGACATTTCTTTGCTAAAAAAAATCCCAGTACGGGTAAATTAATTTGTCTACGTGAAAGTTATAGCATTTACAAATGGCGGTATAGATACTGGAATTTTTAAAATGTATTTATTTTTACTAATAATGGCAGCGATCAGCGACTTATAGCAGGACTGCGGGACTGCAGTGGACATTCTGACACTAGGGGGAACTGACCTGGTGTCACTGACATCCCCAGTGATACCAATACAGTGATCAGTGTTAAAAAATAGCACTGACACTGTTCTAATGACCGAGCCAACAGGGAGGAGGACTGTTAGTAAACAAAGCAGCACTCCTCAACTTCGGAGATCCTTGGTCATTGCCAGGCGCCAGCGAGTAATCACAGGCCAGGACCCGGTGATTGACAGCCACGGCCGCGAATGGCGGCACGGGTAAGGCGCACACGCAGTTTGAAAAATGCAAAATCACGTATATACAGTATATATGTGTGTGATTTTGCACACCCCTGCTGTCCTGTAGCAGTATATCTGCTATAGGGTGGCGGGGATGTGGTTAAAAAAGGCCTGGATTTTTTACTAAATCCACATAATATAACTGGATACTAACATTTTTAGGTAACGTTGATCCAGGAAATATCTGATTGCTTCTTGGCAAACTGGATCATGCTTTGTGGGTTTTTGTTTTGCCTTCCTCTGGATCAACTGTGGGTATGTCTTTGTGTATATGGGATTGTATAATTTTTTTTTTTCCTTTTTATTGGTTTAACTAGATGGACATTTCCAAGCAGACTAATTATGTAACTATGTATGTAGTAAAACTACAAAAAACTTAGTGCGTCTGATATCCCTATAAAAGCCAGTGGGCACCACGATCTATCGCATGCGATGTGTGCCATGGCGCACAAATGTGCGCCGGCTCCTGCGCAGTGCATCTTCGTGCGCAAACGGCCACAACCATGTTGGATATGGGCAACTGTGCCAGCTCTTTGAGCTAATCTTCTTTAGCTTGTCCCCTTACAGTGTTCCTGAAAATCCAGATCAGTAATATTCAGGGACTCTCCAACATCAGGGGATTTCCATGGTACATAGTTCACGGTTTAATATTTTTTTAGGGAAATAATAGATTACACATAGATTAACAAACATTTTATACTTACCTGCTCTGTGCAATGGTATTGCACAGAGCAGCCGTGAACTTACTCTTCTGGGGTCCCTCGCTGGAGCTCTTGGCTCCTTCTCTTCTCTGTGCACCATCATAGGAAGCACCCTTTCTATGGGGGTGCACATGTAGGCTCGCACCTGAGCTGGGCTGTGCATCCATAGACACACACAGCGCAGCTTGGCCCGGTTCTCTGCTCACAGCATTTTTTGAGCCCTTGGCTCTTGCTGCTGCCTCCCTTTCCAGTGAATGCAGAGAGAGCCACTAGAGACAGGCACAGAGATGGATCGAGTGAAGACCCAATAGGTGGGTGTTAGGGAGGTGAGGGGGGAATACAAATATTGGGACATTTTTTATACCATAATGTAGCGAATGCATTAAGGAAAAAATATAGCCTGGCTTTAGAACCACTTTAACCACTTGCCTACAGGGCACTTATACCCCCTTCCTGTCCAGGTAAATTTTCAGCTTTCAGCTCTGTCACAATTTGAATGACAATTGCGTGGTCATGCAACACTGTACTCATATGAAATGTTTTAGCATTTTTTTGAGACCAATAGAGCTTTCTTTTGGTGGTATTTATCACCTCTGGGTTTTTTATTTTTTGCTAAGCAAACCAAAAACAAATGAAAATTTTGAAAAAAAAAATTTTTTTCTTAGTTTTTGTTATAAAATTTTGTAAATAAGTGATTTTTCTCCTTCACTGATGTGTGCTAATGAGGCTGCACTGATGGGCACTGATAGGCTGCACTGATGGGCACTGATAGGTGGCACTGATGGACACTGATGAGGAGGCACTGGTAGGTGGCACTGATGGGCATTGACAGGCATCACTGATGGGCACTGATAGGCAGCACTGACTGGCACTGATAGGCAGCACTGACTGGCACTGTTAGGTGGCACTGTTAGGCGGCACTGACGGGCACTATGTGGCACTGATTGGCAGCACTGATAGGTGGCACTGATTGGCATTGATAGGTGGCACTGACTGGCACTGATAGGTGACACTGAAAGGCAGCTCAGATGGGCACTGATATGTGACATTGATGTGCACTGGTAGGCACTGATATGTGGCATTGATGTAGCACTGATGGGCACTGGCAAGTGGCATTGATGAGTACTGACAGCTGGCATTGATGGACACTGACAGGTGGCACTGCTGAGGCTACACTGATCATCAGGGCACACTGCTCAGGGTTGTACCCTCTCTCCGGCCCTCTTCACCATTGCGATGGAGCCTATAGCTGAAGCCCTTCGAGTTTCTCCAGAAATCGTTTGCCTTCAGGTGGGATGACTAGAAGAGAGGGTGGCTTTATATGCAGACAATTTATTAATGTTTCTATATGATTCCGGGCCTTCCCTTTAGGGAGCCCTTCATATTATGAACTCATTCTCCGGATAAATGGACTTCCAGATAAATGATAAATGAAATCCCAGATAATGCCCATGTAGAGTGTAGAGCTTTCAGATGGCCTCAGCAGGCCCACACACTACAGGCTGCCAGAAGAAATCTACAAGACCAGGGCATAAGTAGAGAGAAGCGGTGACTGGTCTTCACTACAGGAAGCTCATACAGAAAGGCAATGTTCAAGTAAAAATATGCAATAACCCAGTAAACAATTTATGGTATTCCAGCAGTTCTGGCAGTGAAGGCATGACTCTGGGGCAATAATAACCATTTCCAAAGTTTTTTTTTAGAAGTCCACATTTTTAATATGCGTTTGGGGGGTTAATATGGCTACAGGCTTATGCTTTTTTTCTGTGACTGAAGATCGTAATGAGCCAGATAGCTGGAACTGTTAATAATACTGAGCCAGTGTGCTGGCAGCAGTGGTGTTCTGCTGTTATATTAGCATTGCTGGCAGGAAACACATTAAGGCTCAGTGTATGACTTTTGCAGCACAAAATGCATGGTGAAAAAAATCTGACTCAAAAGACAGCTTGACTGGTTTATACAGAAAAGTTCACATTATCTACATTTCTAAAACCAGCATGTCTTAGTCTGCTGACTCTTTCCTGTAAACACAATCTTCCAACCCAAATCATGCTACTGCATTTACCCATTTATTTTTCTGTGGTGACAAACCAAATCAAAAATAAATGAATATTTAAATGTAAATTGCTTTATTATACATGACCTTTTCCAGGAGGAGACACGACAACTGGGTAAATACCATTTTTGTAGACACCTAAGATAATATAAGCAAGCTTCTATGTCTCTTTATTATCAAAGCAGGGCATACAAAGTAAATAAAATGCAGGACTGTTAGTCAAGTTATTATTTGGCCTTTAGTAACATAGCAATGGTGCTGCTCTAAAAGAGTTAGCTAAATATTAAATAATGCCTTAAAGTGGTTGGAGACCTCAGACGTGAAATATGGACAAAGCACATCCTTCTATAGTGTGTACTTGTCCCTGTTAAAAGCAATGAGTGTGATTTTTCTCTGCTGCCTCATTTTTCTGTTACCTGCATGAGTCACTTCTGACAGTTTTTCCTGACTCCAAGAGATAATTGGTAACTGGAGAGGAGAGCTCCAGTACACAGACTGAGATTGACAGCTATAGCTGTACAAGTTCTCCATGAACTGTGAGGAGGGGAGTGTAATCCAATCAGGACTCAGAGCTGTCTTCACTGAGCTCTGCAGTGTAAAACTTCAGATCCCCACCCTCGCTTTTTAGAGCTGAGAGATAAATGATATGACAATTGTTGTAGAAAATGGGTATATGTAAGAGTTTTCAACTGCTTTAACAGCATCCTGCTGACCTACAGTAGAATGATGGCAGCGCTGGAGTGGTGCCATCCTGGGTGGACGTCATATGATATAGTGCCTTGTGCACACCCCATGAGCCACGCTGCTGCAATCTGTCACCTGATGTATCCACCGGACACAGTGGATGACAGATCAGTGTAGTGGACTGCCACCAGTACCATGTGATCACTATGACCAATCGCAGCAGATCACATGGCACTTGTATATGACGAATGGCTTCCTGTCACGTGCCTGATAGGAGACTGAGATGACAAGGTCGGCCTCACTTGTGTCACTAGCCCTGATCCTACTGGAGGTGGAACAAAGGGTGTCTAGGGACCAGGGGGACAAGAGTGCTAATAGATGTTGTTTGCAGCTCTTGCAGTTGGTGACCTTGGAAGACTGATGAACCTCCGATTCAGGCACAGTAGTAATATGCAGAGCTGGTATGGTAGATCGCCAGGTGTGCACCAATTCGGAGAGGGGGTAAATTCGCCCAAAAGGAATTTCAGCACCGGGCAGAAGTTCAATAGGACAATCATAGGGAGGTGCGAAGGAAGAGCATTGACACCCTTTTTGTTGAATACATCTAGGTAATCAAGGTAAGCGACAGGAACGAGTTTCATCATCTCAGAATCAGGATGGATACTAAGAAGAGGAGTTACTGTGCATGGTTCCTTTGGAATGCAATGGTTCTGACAATATTCGGAAGGGAAGAGGATCTCCCCAGAAAACCAATTGATGGATGGGTTGTGCACTCTTAGCCAGGGCATGCCGAGGATGACCGGAAATATTGGTGAAGTTATGACATCCAGACATCCAGAAATTCCTGATGTCCCGAGGAGGAGTGGCAGGAAATTGGCATAGTCTCTTGTGTCACAGGACCAGAACTGATACCAGAGCCATCAGCCAGATGGACCGAAAGTCTTTGTGTCTTAGTACAGAGGGGGATCTTATTTTGGTTAGCGAAGATTGAATCAACGAAGCAGCTACATGCACCAGAGTCTATAATTGCTAGAACAGTAATAGTTCTTTCAGCAAGTTGTAAGTGAAGGTGGAAGGAGAGGTGCATTTGACTTGTTCCTTGGGGGTGCATCATATGGAACAAGCTAGGAGAAGACTTAAGAGATCTCACTGGACATGTCAGTACATAGTGACCTGCATCACCAGTGGAGAGCAGACTCATTCCATTGATTGTCAGAACTCCATATACGGAACTCGGTGACATATTCCTCTATAGGCCTTGAGCCCTGCTGTAGCTTGCTAAGCTTGCTAAGCATAGATTCTGCAGTCTGAGTCCATTGAAGTCAGAGCCGGATCATGTTGCTCATGAAGGCGGTGTGCCCAGGATTGGGGTTCATTCTGAAGTAGTGAAATAATGAATCCCACTTTCGTGCTTTGTGATGCAAAGGTTCTTGGGAGCAGAGAAAAATATAGCTCACAGGAGTTACAAAAGGTTCGGAACTTCCTGCGGTCTCCCGTGAAAAATTCAGGTATTGGCACCCGGGGTTCCGATAGAGGAGAAGTTCCATGAATCATACTGAGCTCTGCCTAAGTAGTTATATCTGAGACTGCAGAGGGACCCATGGCTGTGGAGACATTAGACTTGGTTGGTAGTTGGTTCTCCAGATACTCAAAGTTTCTTTGCAAACTCTGCAACGAGTGAGAAAAGGCAGAGATTTGATTGACAGATGTCCCCAATTGCAGAGGCCTCCCTTTCAGACTCCATCATTTGCTGACTGGTACTGTCACGTACCTGATAGGAGACTGAAATAACAAGGTCGGCCTCACTTGTGTCACTAGCCCTGACCCCACTGGAGGTGGAACAGAGGGTGTCTAGACCAGGGGGACAAGAATACCAGTAGATGTTGTTTGCAGCTCTTGCGGTTGGTGACCTTGGAAGACTGATGAACCTCCGATTCAGGCACAGTAGTAATATGCAGAGTTGGTATGGTAGATCGCCAGGTGTGCACCAGAGCAAGGCAGGAAGCTGGGATGGGAGACAGGAGCAGTGTCAAAGGAATAGCCAGGGTCATCAACGGGCAGACAGCGAGGTACCAAATCAGAAGCAAGCCAAAGTCAGGAGCAGAGCCAAAGTCAGGAACCAGTATCAAGCAGGAGAGTAATCAGAGTCAGGTCAGGAACAAGCCGGGTCAGCAACAAGGAAATCACACAGGAACAAGCAGGAAACTGGGAACAGCTGAAGACCAGTCAGCACTCAGCACAGGCAGAGGCACCTTTTAAATAGTCCATCTGGCACCAATCTTCGCTGTGCATGTGCGCGATCGTGCATTTCTGTGCGCATGTGCACATCTATTCACCAGCTGTCTCCCAGGAATTCCTTTACACTTCCATTTATAGCCATTCATTGTGTACTATTGTACTGATCTCTGTTATTACAGTGATCACATTGTGCAGACAGGGCCAATCACAGTGCATCTGTACTATATGATAGCTGTGGCCAATCACAGCTTCACAATAGTACACACTGGATGAATGGATGTAATTCGTAAAAAAAAAGGTTGCTTATAACATTGACTATCACAGTTATAAGCAATCATTGTGTGTAAAAAAAAAAATTCCTATAACCTTCCCAGAGCAGTACAGTGTCATTATGGTAACACTGTATTGTTCTGATCACAGTATGTTAAAAAAAAAAATTGTAAAAAAGAAAAAAAGCGTAATAAAAAAGAAAAGAAAACCTAAAAAATGTAAATATTTATTTATTTATTTATTTATTTTTTACATACTGGCACCAATCAGTGTCTTTGATCACTGCCACAACAGTTAAATGATGATGATGTACTGCACTGGTGACATGTAAAAAAAAGGTTTTTTTTTTTAAATTTCTTCATTTTGTAAAAAATTATGCCAAACAAATAAAAAACTGACCATGCCTCTTACCAAATACCTTGGATTGTCTACTCCAAAAAGGGGCTATTTAAGGGGTATTTATACTGCCTTGGTATTTTCAGGCCTCACGAAATGAGATGAAGCAGTCAGTACATCAGGATTGATTGATTTTCAATATTTATACAATAGTTTTTGGACTTTTCTACAGACTAAATAATATACATTACAATATACAAATATTGGCTACATTTACTCTTGGACTTTGAATAAAGTACATCACACATAAAGCCACATACAGAATCTAGTACACATAATTATAGATTTATTAGTACAAAATACTAGGGGTGCACCGAAATTTCGGTGGCCGAAAAGTTTCGGCCGAAAACACTCCTATCGGCCATTGTCCGATTTGAAAATAAGCACAGGTGCCGAAGATAACCCCGCTCCCTCGCTGCCACCTGGCCACCCGAATGCCTCTTCCGCCTCTCGCAAACCCCCGCCCACCCGCCTCTGCCGACAACTACTGCTCGGTAGTTCTCAGCCAAACTTCAC